ATGGTTAAGGCACCGCATCTGACTTTACACAGACGACCAGACTCTATATCAGACCCATTTAACCAGTGCCTCTCAATCATCACCACCTTGCAATCTTGCTTCAGCTCCTATGTAACAAAACCAGACTCACAGATTTACACAAAGACGGACTTACGGTAAAGAGATGCTCACACATTTGGACAGGATTAATTACCTTCACTTGAAGTTGAATCCACCAGGTGGTACGGGTGCATCATTACCTCCGAACTGGAAGCCCTGAGCATCACCGGGTGGTAAAGTCTCATCTTCCTCTTCCAACCAGTATGTTTCGAGAATCTTCACTGCCTTCTCGTAGATTTCGCTGTTGTCGTGACTCTGCAGATTCTCAATCTTTTCTAATCCCTCAGCATCGTCGATTAACTGTGCATAGAAGTTTACATCCCCAGTGTTTCCCGTGACCTTTTCAGCTTCCCCAACTTTCAGAATGTTCTCCAATCCTTCTAGACACACGGTGATAATCCTTGGATCAGGGCACACCAAAAGATCACACAGTGGTTTCACGACTCCTTGTTCCACCATGTACCTAAACCCACCCAACAATGGAAACACGTAAGTGATCCTCTAAGAGAGAGCAAAGAAATATTTTAAAGGAGGTGAGATCAACAGAAAATCTTACTTGATTTGGTCAGGAGAACCACCCGAAGTGGCATTTGATACTGCCCATGCAGCTTCTTTCTTTATATCAAACTCTGCATTTTGAAGCAGATTGACGAGGGGGCAAATTAAACCAGCTTCGCATACAGCCTGCATAACCGAGATTGTCCAACACTAGTGTATGAGTAACTGATGCTTTGAACAGAAATAACATCGATTTTCAGCAAAACTTCACCTGAATCTGGTCCCTGTTTCCAGCAGTGATATTTGAGATTGTCCAGCAAGCTTCCTTTTTAATGCTCTTCTTATGGTTGTGAGTCAGAAGGTTCAAAAGGCTAAGGAGTGCACCATGACTAATTACACACTGCAGGAAAAACTCTCATCAGCTCAGAACCGGCCAAAGACAAAAGAGAAACTAACTGAGAAATGGTTCAATTCTTGAGAGCATTATACATCTAAAATGATGAACACATAGTTCTTGCCGAGGACTGCCCTAGATCAATCTATAACCACACGATAGGGGCAGGAAACCCGACATCATGAACAATGTTCTAAAGAACATACGTACTAGAGTAAAATCCATGCATGATACTAGAAGAAACCAAATTTAGAAAGAAATGTACAGCTAACATTCGCAGGGTGATTAAATCTGATGAGAAGCTACGCAAGTAAATTTTGAAAAGTAAATGTCATTATCATCAAGTTCAGGTTCAGCTTTCTAAGCCAGTGGCGCTTCATTCTTCCCATCAACATTGGACAGACCATGTATACTGAATAGAAATGACTGACAATGAAGAAGAACAAACATACCTGTGTTTGATTATCATCTCCAGTGACAATGTTACCAATACTACGAAGCGCAGGAATAAGCACAGATGGTGACGGATGCCTGCAGCAAAATAAATTTGATAATATTCATTAACATGTAACATTCATCATACCAAAACACAGTGAAGTCACAGGATTTAAAACTCACTGGAGAAGCTCGATGAGTCGAGGAACAACACCTGCCTGAATGACAGCTTCGATCTTATCATTTGTGCCATCGGAAAGATAAGAGAGGGCCCAACAAGCATCCGTTAACACTTCCTCATCAGTCGAATGAATCAGACGTTCAAGGGCTGGAAGTGCCGGAGAGACCTGTTGTTAAAAGACCAGGGATATAAAAAATAAAAACATCCTCGGTCAATAAGAAAAAAATTAGGCAGAGAAAAATAAGACTGAATTGAGAGACAAACCAGGTTAAAAGGAGGCTGCGGCTTTCCCCTGCAGAAATTTGAGAGAGTCCAAGTAGCATTTCTCAGCATTGAGAGTTTAGCATGCTCATTCAACTGAGAGAGCAACGGTAACAAAGCTCCCTGACTTAGAACAAGATCTCTGCACCGTGGAGAATCACCAGCAACATTCCCTAACGCCCAAACAGCCTTACACATGAAACAAGTTAAGAAAACGAACTTTAGAACATACTTGTTTCCAAATTAAAAGAACTCACAAAGACATTAGCAAAGAACCATTACCTGCTCACGAACATCATCACTAGGAGAAGCCAACAGTTTGACAAAAATCGGAACAGCACCATGTTCAATGACCACCTTTGTATTCTCTGAAGTCCCAGAAGCAATGTTCGTCAATGCCCAAGCAGCCTCAAACTGAATACATACACACAAAGTAAAAACTATCAGACGAATAATTCGAGCAAAATTTCGACAGATACATATATACCAAATCCACCAAACCTGAAGCTGTGGATAATCCTCCCTCATGAGAAATTCAACAAAACGAGGTACAACACCAGCATCAATCACTTCCTCAATTGGAGGACTACGTTCTGCCAAAAATCAAAATCATTTCAAGAAATTGAACGAATCGAATTGCAAAACTTCCATACAAGATATATCAAAATTTACCAATAGAAAGCAGTTTCCGGAACTGAGTAGTTGCTTCAAGCTGTAAGTTTCTATCATCTGACCAAACTCCACCAACCATGGCAGGCAAACTCTCCAACTTTTTACGAAAAATCGAAAACGATCTAATCAGTA